AAATTATATGTATTAAAATTAGTAGGCTTATCGAATACGAAAACTTCAGGGATCGTGAGTAGTACACCTATAGGCATACTGGACCACCTAAAATAGCATGTGAAATTGTACCGTAAAACTTATAGGCATTCCCGCCCACTACATGTTCTGGACCAAAGTACGTTCTAGACCAGTCTCTCTAGACCAAAAGTCATTCTAGACCAGTAACTCTAGACCAAAACACCTATAGGCATACTGGACCACCTAGAATAGCATGTGAAATTGTACACCGTAAAACTTATAGGCATTCCCGACCACTACACGTTCTGGACCAAAGTACGTTCTAGACCAGTCTCTCTAGACCAAAAGTTATTCTAGACCAGTCACTCTAGACCAAAGTACAAAAAAAAAACGTCGTTTTGCAACGCCTTTTTGTCACCATCCCCCTTAGTAGCGCGCGCGCGTGCGCATGCGCTTGGGGCCCGTTCTGCTGGCGCGGGCGTACTACGGGGGGTGTAGATAGCGTTTGTGGTGAGGGTTGGGGGGGTAGGTCTTGTAAAAACGCGCGCGCGCGAGTAAGTTTGTTTGTTGTGTGTGTGTGTGTGTGTGTACCTTGGGATAGTGGTAAGAGAATAAACGATACGTTTTAAGAAATTTATCTATCTTTATTTTGAGGTACGTTATCCATAAACAAAACATTGTACATCTTGTTTTGCTATTCTGGGAAACTTTTTCTTAAATTCTTCCACTGTATACTCTTGATCTCGATACTCCATTTTTCCTTCATGACCGACTAGCTTGTGCAGTCCATATCTACCGCAATGTAATAAGTTGTCTTTCATCGTCGTTATAGGATAATAATTTAAGTGATGTCCGATCACATACCCTATAGCTCGGTTGTCCTCGTTTTTAATCTCTGTACCAAATGGCAAGCCACCTGGCGTTCCATCGTAATAGAACGCTGGGTATTCTTGTAGCACTACCTTGTCGTGTTGATAGATTTCGTATATGTAAAATGTTCCATCTTCTTGAACTGGTACAGTGAAGTCGAGAACTTTTATTACCCGTTGATTATTAGTGTGTGACGTAATTATTGCATTTAGGTAAATGTTCACTGTTCAGTGGTTGACTGATGATTGAAAAGATTACATTGTATGTAGATATATATAGTACTTAGTCATTTGCAGATATTTTTAGACGTTTAGTCATTTTGGACGCAAATTTCTCACATTTCTCCAGTCTCTTAATTTTTTGTAACTGAGTACGTTCTTTTTGTTTCACTGTTTGAAGTCTTTTACGTTCCTTGTTTAATTTTCTTGAAATTTCACTGAATTTCTTTTCGCATAGTCTGTTGACTTTTCGTAGATAACCTCCAATTATGCGCAGTTCATCGTTGTTCACATGTTTTCTATGAGTCACAATAACCATATCATCTGTAGGACTGCTTTGCTCTTCAATATAATTGTTTACCAACTGTTGCATATCCTTTCCAGCATTACGATTTGCAGGAGCTGTTGACGATACATCAATGGTGGTTGAATTATTAAAAATATCATTTCCGATTAAGAATTCATCCATATCAAAACTATCAGCCTAAAAGAAAAAAAAATGAACGAATTAGCTAATGTATATTTTTATGTAACCATGATAATAAAACTTACTGAATGTGCATAATGATGTGTCAATTCCAGATTTTGATCAGAATTTTCTTCCATGGTAACTAGTTGTTGCGAACACAGCTTGGCTACGACTGAACATAACTATCTAAGGAAAGTGAACTACTAGGAATTTGTTGGCGTATGTCATGTGACTTTCGAGAAGTATGAGTGTTTTATGATATATGTGTCATATATAAATAATAATAATACACGCTTATGCAATATAGAATAATACTGATCGTACCGCTGCGCTGTTGAATATGTGTGCTGAAGAATATTCTATAGATTTTAGTGAATACAATTCGTATGATAAACGTATCAGTACATTTGAAAAAGGATGGGCTGGAATCATTAATCCTGCAGTGCTAGCAGCAGCAGGTTTTTTTATGTTGGAAGTGAAGATATTTGCCAAGCGTTTTGTTGTGGGATAATAATGTACAAATGGAAGGATGGCGATTGTCCTATTAAGGATCATCTAAAATTCTCAAAAAATTGTGACTATGCTAAACGAATGCAGAAGCTATTGAATAGAATGGGAAAGAAGACGGACAAGAAATTTGATATAATGCACCATGTGATTTTACTTTTAGCTTCATATTTATTAGTTCATTTTGTATGTTCGATAACATTAACGATTAAATAAAACAATATACTTACAGCAAGAATTTTATTTTGTAAATATTATCAATATTCACACAATTTGGAACCTTAATTTGGTACATTGTCACAAATATGAATATTTCTAAAGCTAATAATCATTTTTTGTTTTTGTTCATATTCCTCAATACACTTTTTGAGGTTATGTAATTTTCTCAGATAGGCATCTATTGAAGCGGCTGCTGTAGTGTGATCCATCTTGTTGCAAGGATGACTGACAACTATTTTCTCATTAACGCAAGAAGCCACTCTTGAAGCTCAGCACAGTTCCTTAAAGCACACATACATAGTCTCAAACTGTGATGTAGACATCGTGGTTTATTTTTATTGAAGTTCAACACATCTAGACTGGTCTGGAGTACATCTTCTAAGTTTATGATTTCTGGTTGGAATTCCTCATCGCGAAGGGAAGATAACAAAACTAGTTTTTGATGTCCTTTGACGTATACAAAATCAACGTCTGATAAATGCGACTTGATGATATCCTTCAAATTGGTGCTGTTCCAAGAATCCAGAGGAATATTTCAAGCCATGATAATTTTTTTCCAGCCATCGCACTTGCACTTTATCGTTTGTACTTAAAAAACAAAACGGTGACAATGGTTTAAAAATATAGTGAGTTATCTGGTTACTAATTGAAATCGCTAATTCTTTAGCTAAAAACCCGTTTGAAAGTTGAAAACCTTGAACATCTACTGCTGCTATTTTCATTGCGTAACCGATTAAGATGATTCTAGTACTACGCACCACGACTTACTGAGAGCTTCGACTGCTAGTGCGTTACATTTAAATTAGTTTCCGAACAATTTCTAGTTTTACATCAACGGTGGACGACTTTAAATCTTTGCTTCGCTTGGAACAATCAATAACAAATAAAGCATGAGTTTTGAATGTAGAATAGTCAAGTAATCCGTGTTTATCGTTATCATTTGAATACGTTTTGGCAAATTGCGAATACATATGATGAGCTTCCATATATTTATTATTTTTAAAATCTAACTTCATATCTTCATGAGGATAATAGTCCGAATTAATCATTAACTTTATGTTTGTAAGATTTGCGTTATCTAATATGTGCTTATCCGCTTTTGCTACATCTTTTCTAGCTGTTTGAAAGGCAACAATAACAAATCTTGGAACTTCTATAGCTGAACTTGTCTTTACTGACCATATAGTTTTCGTGGCATTATGAGGTAAGGACGGTAATTCATGTATTGACCACTTTCTATAACCCATATTCTTTATCTTTTTAAGTACATCCAATTTTAGCGCATCATTTAGAAATATGTGTTTAACTTTAAGTTCAATAGAATTTATCTGAATGGTAGCCGTTGTGTCACCAATGACCTTTAGACAATTATGATCGTGTCTGGAACGAACCAAACGTATAGTATGCCTTCCAAACATTGGTTTTCTATAATCAAGAAAAAAACCGAGAAGATGCCATAAGGGTATGCGAAATGAAAACGTCATATCCGCATTCAAAATTGCATTGGATGGAAAATTCCATCCAGCTATAGCCATATGGTTACTATCGTTAGGATTGTAACATAAATAACCTCTTATCATGCTCACAATACCATGATCACGTACACGATCTAGTTCTTTTCCATTCAATTCATATGAAATTGAATCGAACATAAAAGCACCAGCGTTATTGACTAATTCTACTTTAGCTTAAGCGGTAGTAGAATTACTTTTTAGTAACACCTTACCATCTATACAGATAGCAGCTTCATACATCGCTAACCAGGCATCTTGTTGATTAATAGTAATTTCAATTTCATCATTATTATCAAAAGATTTTACAAATGGATAATATGTACGGCATTCCTCTTTTATTACAGAGTTATCGAACGATGGATTTTCGAATATATGATGGACTGGCAACATTGTATCCCAAAGATTTTAAAAACAAAACGTTTGTAGGTGTTAGTGCTTTAGTTGAAGGATGACTTGTCTTCATAAGATGATTACGAAAGACTGAATCATAAGTTGCAAACTTGTTCTTTTTATATCTGTTACTATTGGGGGTAATAGATAATCCCATTTTAAGTTAATTTTTTAAGTTCCAGTCTACCAATTATCTCTTCCCCTCTAAAGTTAACAAGCTCTCCGTTTTGGTCTAATATACGTAAACTAATGTTATTGATAGTATGTGTTTCGGATACAGGTAAATATATCAAGTTACGGGGTTGAATGTCTATAGCATAACCAGCATCTACGTCAATGGAAAATTCAAAAATTGCGTGTGACGGTTTGCTGTTATAGAATGAACCTGTTGGAATATTACAGTCAAAGTGTACAGTAATCACTTTAACTATTTTCACTGGTAGATCGGACGAATGAAGAATACCGGTATCTAGTACTTTTTTTGAAAATCCAAGGATTTTTCCAATACTATCTTCGTGCTTGAAATCTATAACGTATTGATTACTAAACAATTCGCACTTGAGAGTATTATTGTTCGGTTTGAGTGGAAACGGTGGTATTTTTTCCAGTGTTTCTGTATGAGTATTGAGATACTATTCGATATCACCTATTTCGTATACACCTGTTGGAATTGTTGTTTTCACTTTGTTGTCTTTCTTGTTATGGAAATAAAATTTATTGGCACCTTTTTCTATGTTTGGGATTGTGTTGTATGAATGAAAGCCAATCAAAGCAATTCCGTAAAGTGAATGAGGTTCGAGTTCAATTGGATTGATAAAATCAATGGATAGTACTGAAGAGCGACTTCTCAGGGTGATTAACTGTGACATAATGATACTAAGGTTGTTGAATCATTGAGTTTTATATAAAAATTCTAAACAGAAATGTCCGCAATTGAACTGATCAAATGTTTGGTAAGGTTGATGATTATAAAGTATTTTCACGCCAGTACCAAGGTATCGAATTAGCTCAAGAGGAGGTTTTAAATTTCCAAAACTATCAAAATAATTAACTACTTTACCTATCTTCCTGTATGCTACCCAATGTCCCATATGAATAAAAGTGAGCATATGCTTATACTTGCGAAATTAAAAGTAAATGCTTCAAGGGATATGAATAAAATTATAAGTAAATGCTTTTGCTTATAAGTAAAGGCGGACACCCACTACTCGTGTATTTGGCAAGTACGCCAATATTTGCGTACTTGCCAAGTACACCAAGGTTCGAATTCAATTTACAAATAGGGCGCTCCCACTACTCCTGTATTTGGCAAGTACGCCAATATTTGTGTATTTGGCAATTACAGCAGGTTTCGTTGCCTCTCGGTCTTCAGTGTTTGTTTTCTTTCCATCATGGATAGTCGCGTAGTCGCTTCAGCAGCGTTTGTGGTATTGAGTGGCTGCATGAGAAGAATTAAAGCTCATCAAGTTCAGAAAGCAAAAGGAAAAAGAAGATGGTGGATGACTTCTTTGAGCAGAAGTCGAGAGAGGTAAGTTAATACCTCTATCTGTCCTGATCTACCAAAAGCAAATACCATGCCGTTATATTCTCAAGATTGATACACTGGTCAAAATTATTTTTTTGCAGGTACAATGTCTCCATTATGATAGAGGACCTGATTCGAGAACCGTCAGGAAGGTTGGAGAATTTCCTGCGAATGTCCTACACCGACTTCGAATTTCTACTGAATGAGGTGGGACATATGATAGGGAAAAAAGATACTCAGCTGAGGAAGGCAATTTCAGTTAAGGAAAGGTTCTGCGTTGCTCTCAGATTCTTCGCTAGTGGTGACAGTTTCGTGAGTTTGTCATACCTCTTCAAATTTTTACCACAAACTGTATCCCGGTGCGTTTTCGACGTTTGTGATGCATTGATTAGCGTTCTCAACCATCAAATAAAAGTAGGTATACAACAAACATTTCTACATTGTTTATTCAGTTAAGAAATAAGGTAAAAGCATGGTTAAAGTTAAATTAAAGTATGGTCAAAGATTAGTATAGTTTTCTGTTAATAAGGATATATCATTGCAAGTAGTTATTGGAATCTCAGGAGCAAGAGGCGGTTGGTGGGCGGAAGAAGTTGCAGAATTCTGTGGCAAAGAGGTGATCGTCGGAGTTTGAAAAGTTTCATCAGACGATGACGAATAGAAAGATGCTGGGGAGGCTGGTTCTGGAAATGCCGATTGATATCGAGGTCCCATCGATGACGAATAGAAAGAAGTTGGAGATTGATATTGAGGTCCCATGGACCTCATTGTTGCCCTGAAGAATAGGTTATCAATCTCGTTCATCACAATAATCCTGTCCACTTCGCTTAACATCTCGAGCCTCTTAGCCACTAGTCGCCCATAGGCAGTACAAACAGTGGTTTTGGGTGGTTCGGTCTTTTGACATTGTTTCATGATTTCATAGGCTTCTTCCATACGACGGTTAGTCTCCTCCATGTCCACGGCCTTCCTTTTATTTTTCTTTGCTCCCCCAACTGGTGGCTTGAAATGCTTTTGGTTGCTTTCAGTGCTTTTTTCGATTCCACCCTCGTTGTTCGCAGATGCAGATTCCGTGTTTGCCTCGATTTCATTACTGTCTTTTGCTCGCATGTCTGCCTGTCTCTGTATATCTTTGTATGTCCCACCGTCCCCACTTGCAGACGCAGATTCCGTGAGTGAATCTTCTTCGGTTTCCTCTTGAGGCATGCTATCCTCCCAATTCTGAAATGAGACAGATGCTTTTTTAGCTTCTAGGCATGATTTTACCTTCAAAATAAAGAAATTTAACGCACAGGGCGGCCCAAATTCGAGCGGCACGTTAGTGAGCACCAACATACGCAATGTTGCCACAATTTAACCAAAGCTGTAGTATACTAGGAGATCTCAATGATGTGTCTCGAATTTGGGCCACCCTGTATACGATATTACACTCTGATTATATTCATTAATAATGCTGTCTTCAGGTTTCTAGTTATTATTTCTTTATTCCAGATGCCGAGAAGTTCAAATGAATGGAAAAAAATTGCAATTGAATTCGAGAATAGGTGGAATTTCCCTCATTGCTTGGGAGCTATAGACGGGAAGCATATACTGATTCAGAGCCCAATGAATAGTGGATCAGATTTTTTTAATTACAAACACACTTTCAGTGTTGTTATGATGGCACTTGTGGACGCCAATTACATGTTCACATATGTGGATGTTGGATGCCAAGGCCGTATAAGTGACGGAGGTGTATTCCGCAATACCGTTTTGGGCAGAAAACTCGAAGAAAATAGACTGATGTTACCCAACGATGAAACTCTACCCAATCATACTCAAACTACTTTTCCTTACGTTTTCGTCGCAGATGATGCTTTCGCTTTGGGACCCCATTTATTAAAACCATTCCAAGGAGTCTACGAAGCAGGCAGCGATGAAAGAGTCTTCAATTACCGGTTGTCTCGTGCTCGGCGCATTGTTGAGAACGCATTCGGAATACTAGCGTCGGTCTTCCGGGTGTTTAGAGCACCTATGCTACTACAACCCGACAAAGTCAGCAAAGTAGCAATGACTTGTGCACTGCTTCACAATTTTTTACGGAGCAGTAAAGACTCTTCTGCTACCTATGCACCGCCAGGCGCTATCGATACGGAGCAAGACGGCACAATTATTCCCGGCACATGGCGAAGCGATGTACAAAATATGACATCTTTCCTACCCCTCAAAAAAATACCAAGAAAAGCTGGTCGTGAGGCTCAGGAAATAAGGAAATTATTTTGTGGCTATTTCAAAACTACTGGAAAGGTTCACTGGCAGGACCGTTACTGTTAAATATTCATTGTACCGTTCCAATATCTTAAAATAAAACAATCTTTCACTCACCTCTGAATTATATGTATTCCTTGCGACTGAAACCCCATGCAGAAAGCTCTCGATTTTCTCGAATGCAAACCAAGTTGGTTTATAAACGTCCTTGCTGCCGGTCCCTGTTTTTGATGATGCCTTAACTTTCCTCCACAATGGTCGAAATGACGCCATCAATGACTCTTTCTTCTTTTTCAAATCGGCAACCGTACATTCGATCGATATTTTATTTTTGATGCGTAGCCAGGCATCGTTAATCAAGTTTCTGTTTTTATGTTGTGGATGCGTAGGTTGCCATATAACTGGCTCATTTTCATACAGATCGAGAAATTCAAAAATGACTTCTTGTGACCACTCCATTTCGAAAAACCTCTAGGGGAACACGCACCACGCACACGCGACAGAAGCCAAACACAGACTCAACTGTAGAAATTAATTGCGGCCAAGCCGGCAAGTAGTGGGAGCGCATCGACAAGTATAAACTTGTCAAATACGCAAATAATTGAAAATGCTTTGACTCGCGGTATTTTTACCGACAACCTGCGGGACTTCTCCAGCTGCAAATAATTGTACAAGTAATGGCCGAGTGAACCACTCCCACTACATGGCAAATATAGGCAAGTGACAAATATTTGCCAAATACACGAGTAATGGGAGTCCGCCTTAAGAAGCAAGTGCTCATGATATTGAAGGATTTGCTTCAAACGTATGAATAAAGCCAACCTTTTGCTCAAAAGTGCGAGTATTTACTTATGGAAAACTGATGCTGCTATTCAGTAGCATCAGAGCTGCTAGTGGTTCCGTACGTTTTTTGCACGGTTGTTTGGTTAAAAGTAAAAATGGCTGAAATGATGAATCTTCGAAATATGAAATACTACAAACCACGGCGTACACCGCGAACTAGTGATTTTAAAAGTATGTTCCGGTTTGAAGAGGAAAATGTGAAGTGGTTAGCCCAGAACTTTCTAGGCGAGAGTGTAGAAAGGCGTGGTGGTGCATTATCAGCTTTACACAGAATGAAAGTATGTTTAACGTATTTGGCAAATCCAGGTTTCCAAAGCGGAATTAGCGAAGAGCTAGGCATTGAGCAATCCACTGTTTCTCGCACTGTGAGAGATGTGGTAAAAAAAATAACTCTACAGGCTAATCGTTGGATTCAGTTTCCTAAAAGTCACCATCATATAATGAAAGCCAAAGAACTCTGGGCAAGCCGGTTTAGATTTCCGACTGCTATTGGAGCACTAGACTGCTCACATGTGAAAATAGAGAAACCCAACTTACATGGGGAAGAATAAATAAACCGCAAAGGAGAAGTAACTTTGAACGTACAAGCTACGTGCAATGTAATGTGCGTATTCACCAGCGTGGATGTGAGCTGGCCGGGTTCGGTACATGACAGTCGAATCTGGAAAAATTCCGACGTGAGAGAAGTAATGCGACGTACACAGAACACCGTTCTCATTGCTGATCAGGGATGCGGAATTGAACCTTGGCTTATGACTCCTTATCGAGAACCTGTCAACATAGACGTGAAGAAGGCATACAATAAACTATTGTCAAAGGAAAGGGTAGTACTCGAGCAGTGTTTTGGACAGATAAAACGGCGCTTTCCGATACTGAAATATTGTTGTCGCGTGAAATTGACTAATGTTCCAGATATAATTGTAGCTTGTATCATTTTACACAACATTGCTAAGCCCTTGCAGGATCCAGATTTTGAGGGTAGTGATGAAGATGAAGACGGCGCCGGCGATGTTGTTAGTGGGCATGAGGAAGAGAATGACGACTTACGTGTCCGCGGTCAGGAAGTGCGTGAAGTTTTAGCGAATATAATTCAAAATTATAACGCACCGTGATAAGTGATCTACTCGTATGTGTTTGTAATAAATTTGCATTGATCTTAAACTTGGAATAAAAATACATTGCAGAGTAATATAGTTTCTGTGATCCTCGAACCTACATATACATTACTAAAATCAACCATATGTCCCAGAAAAAAAAACAGAGAAAGCATCCTTTATGACTGCTGTAAAAATTTCCCGCCCCTTCTCAGAACCCAGCCATCATAGGTTCGCATACGTATTTCCGTTTTCGTGTACCATTTGCACGGCTTCCCTTTGCAATTTTCTCTCATAATACCCTCTTTGGACTCGGGCAGTCTGTAGCTGTTCTAGCAAAACTAACCGTTGCAGCTCTACGTTGGACAACTTTTCAGTTTCCTGTGTCTCGCCTGGTAGTGCAGTTGCTGCTCGCTGTCGACGTGGAGGCAGTGGCAGAGGAGTAGCAGTCGTAGCTCTTTTTTCGGATTGATCCAAATTAGAAGAGGATGTATTGGGAGAGGACGTGCCATATGATCTTGCTCCTGCCATGAAAGAAAAAATTGATAAAGTAGACCTGACGACAACCATAAGCAGATCCAGGAGTGCTGGGGCACGGGGGGCTTGAACCCACTATCTTATAATAAAGAACAAACAAGCAGCACTAAAATGCACGCTGAAGGTACATTTTAACATGTATCACAAATCACTTTGTATATAAAATACTTTCTTACAACAGAAATTTGTTAACCGGATAAAAATATTTTGATTCGGTTTCAACAAAAGACAATTTCTTTTTTTATTTAAATGAATCCGTAGCACTGATCTCTTTGAAGTTTTCCGTAGTCAAGACACTCAAAATACTAATATGTTCGTAAAAGTTACGAATCCCCCTTCCCCATTGAACAAAGCTGAATACGCCCTTGCACCATAATATATTTATTATTATCCACTCTTGTTCTTACCTGCTATTTTCGCCACACTTGGATTTGAGTCTCCATCCATGGCGTCGTACAAGGTTTTTTCCCATGGAAGAAGTTTAACAGGTTTGTTACCGGTTTTTCTTACATCGGTCTTCTTCTTTAAGCGTGCCTTCATATTATTGACTTTCTTCATCAGTTGTACGGTTGTTATGGACTGCCCCATAACACTTTCATATAATTCTAATATTTTTCTTACCGCATCCTCTTTATTTTTCTTAGATGCAGGCGTCTGTGATTTACTAAGGATCTCTGGATATTTGCTGACCTGATTTGCTATAAAGTCCAGCGCCTGCACCTTACTATCATTTTCACATGCAGCTTCATCTTCAGATGACGACATTTTTTACACTGGATAACCGTATGTGTCCAGCACGTCGCTACAACTGCGTAAACTGCAGGTCTAAACACGCAAAATTTCTAGCCCCCAATATTTTAGACATGAGCATTTACTCGTTTTCATGAAGCATTTGCTTGCAAGTACAAGGTAATCATTATTCATATTAAATGAAGCAAATGCTTTTACTTCTACCTTTTGCTCTGAGCATTTGCTTTTCCTTCTACCTTATGCTTATGAGCATTTACTTAATTTTTATTCATATGGCCCAATGAGTACTAGCATTAGCACTAAGATCTAGATTGATAATTGCACACTCGTTATTTTTTGGTTTCGTGCTCGGTAGGGTATCCCTCATATATACATTTTTAAAATGCTTTATGTTGAGCAGTTTCGCGTATCTCAAAATATCATGATCGGAAAGCGCTGTATTGGGTAGCTTTACTGGTAGTTTTTTGATTTCTGTTTTTTGACGTATAAACCACTTCCAGAGGATTGTTTTTCCAGGAATAAACCCATACCACCATGCTTATTTATATGTAGATACAAGCCAGATCCTCGTTTACCTAGTGCAATAGCTTCGATTGTTCTGTTATGTCGCTCTGCTTCTGCCAATTGTTTTTTGGCGTTCTTAACGTCGATAGCAGTTTTTGCAACCGCAGCAGCTCCACCTGTAAGTGAACCCAATGCCCCTAATGCTCCCAGTATAGGTAGAATTGGTAAAATGCCACCTCTCTTTGGTATCGGTATAATTCTATGAATATTTACTTTTCGTCGCCCACCGACACGTTTAATAGCTACACGGGCTGCGCGTAACGCAGTCAGTGCAGATTTAGTCAAATCCGCTTCATTGTCACTATGAGGTAGCTTTATTTTCTTCAATATATCACGGTAAAAGGAAATGGACTCGAGTTTTTTTATTCCATTTTTCTTAGTTGCGTCCGAATCCATACCTACGTTACGTTTAATCTTCATTGCTTTCACTGTAGGTTAGACAACAATTTGTTGAGACTGCTCAATAACCTTTTATAGGTGTTGATGGTGCGAGATCAAACCAATTAATAAGGTTAATTTTTAGTGATCTCTAGATCTCTACTATATATATATATATATATATATCTGTCTACAACCATTCACTCATTGGCAAGATGCGCCTTGTTAAACAACAAATCTTATTACCCACACAAAATTTAGATTATTGCACCGTTACACCTGTACCCTTAAAATTCAAACACAGTAAGTTGCTACCTAATAATATTCGTTGCGCAGTTTGCGGGGGAAGTGGTTCTGGAATGACCAATGCTGTATTATCACTTTTATTTCATCCAAACGGTTTGAAATTAAAAAATTTATACATTTACTCCAAATCCTTATATCAACCAAAATATCAGCTACTTAGAAGTGTTCTTGAGAAAGTTAAAGGCATACAATATTTTCCATTTAGTGACAATGAAACAGAAATAGTTGATCCATCGTGCGCTAATGAACATTCAATTTTTGTATTTGATGACGTTGCAACTACGAAACAGGATAAGATCAGAGATTATTTTTCCATGGGACGACATAAAAATATTGATTGTTTTTACTTATGTCAAACATACTCGAAGATTCCCAAGCAGTTGATAAGAGATAACTGTAACATGGTCATTTTGTTCAAACAGGACGATGTAAATTTGAGGCATGTGTATAATGAACATGTTACAGTTGACATGGACTTTGATAAATTTAAAAATCTGTGTGCAGAGTGTTGGAAAGATCAATATGGTAGTATGGTAATTGTGAAAGATTTTGATATTAATAAAGGGCGGTATCGTAAAGGATTTGATATGTATATAAGTTTGTAATGCTACCAGAAATCAACCATTTCTGAACATGCCTCCTAAACATATAGATCAAGGAGAGCTACGTAAAAGAAAAATTATACAACTTGAACGGGCAATAAGAAAAAAGTACTTAGCATTGAAACTGGGTAGAAGTGAAGAAGATACGGTATTGGAACGTGTATTTAAGCCGATTGTTGAACCGCTGAGACTTTTAACCAACGAAAATGACTTAACAGTTGCTGATAATATAAAACTTAAGAAGCAACTTAAAAAATTAGACAAAGAAGAAAAAATACCCATGTCTCCACCACCATTTATTCCAGAAGAAGATATTGCAAGTACCTATATCAAAGGTTCTGAAAACGAAGATGTTAATGATTATGATGATGTATTTGTGAATCAGTCTAATGATTCCATTGTCCATTCACAAATACAAGGTGTAAGAGATGAAGTAATTAATGAATACATTGATCAGTATCCAGAGATAGCCCAAAAATATGTAACTGAACATTGGTTAGATGATCAAAAGATTGATAAAAATTATGGTCCTGTGTATGATGCATCGAACTCATCTTATCAGGTAAGAAACGCATTGATTTCAATCAACGCACTGGGCACATTATAATTGATGGTAATCAATTTCCGGGTACACCAGGTTTATATCAACTAATTTTCTATAAGGATCCATCATATAACGATGAGGACCGTTCTATGTATAAACATATGCTGACATTAAGCGAAGTACATAAAACTGCATCAGGACGTCTTAAAGGATCCAACATGTACAAATACAAAGAAATTATCAGACCTATGTTCTATAAACAACGATTACATGCTACCACAAGTGTTTCAGGACTTGGTTTACCAAGAAATATGACTTATAATAATAAAAAAGTAGAGTATGTGTACTGGGATAATTTGAATGAGTTAGTTGATAGGTTGAGATTACTTATAGCTGCACAAAACGCTGGCAATAGTTCAGTAAACAATGAAATACTGTCTATCATTCAAGAGCTTCAAGAAGCAGGAGTTATAGTTAAATAAGAAGTAAATACATATGTTGTATATGAATCTTGAACATAACCGATATGACCGTTGACAAGTTTGGACGTGTAGCTGCACCAGAAAGGCGCCCTCTACAACAGTCTTTTCAATCTACGCGACATGGTTTGCCTATGACTAGTGATGGTAATATAGATGTTGAAAACTCGAAATTATGTAACGTTAAAGACCCCACTGACATTAGAGATGCAACTAATAAAAAATATATTGATAATCAGGTAACTACTTTAAATAAACTTAGAGCTAAGTGAAGCCATTTCACAAGAATTAATAAAGCTGGAAGGTTATCAAAAGAATGTTCACGAAACCTCAGTCAATTTAAATAAAAAGGTGTCAGATATAGAATCAAATCTACAGAAACTGTTGAACTATCACGTAGACACATCAGCATACATAGATAAGAAGTTTACTGAAGTTTCTACACAAATTTCAGAAATTCAAGGAAAACTTACTAAATTGAAAACTAAATACGACATACTAGAAAAAAAATATACTCAACAATCAAATAGCGTAGTATAAGGTCGCATTTGTATCGAATAATTAAAGTAATTAACTAATAGTCACCATGAACGCTACTCATTCTACAGAAAAAATTCAGCTTGCGAACGAACTACACACGCCTATTCGAAAGAAGTTCAGAACACGAAGAACAATAATACGAGGGTTAGATGATTTATGGCAAACATCTCATTGAGATGCAACCTTATGCAAAAATAAATCGAGGATATCGTTATATTCTAATAGTAATTGATTGTTTTTCTAAACTTGTATGGGCTGGACCACTTAAGAATAAAACTGGAGAAGAAGTAAGTAAAGCATTTGAAGATGTTCTCAAAAACAACGGAAATAGAGTACCTAAAAATATACAAAGTGATCATGGAAAAGAATACTATAACAAAAATTTTAGTTTTATTTTAAAAAATATAATATAAACCATTACAGCACCTTCAGTACAAAAAAGGCATATTTTATTTGACTTAGTTGATATGTATAATAATCATAAGCATCGTACAATTGGTTTAAGACCATCTGAAGTTAATAAAACTAATGAAAATGATATTTTGAATAATGTGTACAGTCATATCAAAATGGCTGGAAATAGAAAATTGAACGTTGGAAACTTGGTTAGAATCTCCAAAGAAAAGCATTTATTTAATAAAGGATATTTGCCGAATTGGACAACTGAGGTATTTAAAATATCAAAAGTTCAAATAACTAATCCTACAACGTATTTGTTGGAAGATTTACGTGGAAATCCGATTTCGGGGGGATTTTACAATGAGGGATTACAAAAAACATCCATTCCAGATGTTTATTTCGTTGAGAAGGTATTAAGAAAGAAAAATAATAAAGTTTACGTAAAATTGCTTGGCTTTGATAGTTCTCATAACAGTTGGATAAACTCATCTAATCGTTTATAATATTTAAAAATTGTGGTGGGGAGATTGATATAGTGCTATAATTTGCTCATCCTGTCAATATTCAGAAAGATGTTCTGCCGTAAAGACATAGAAGGCGAAGAATCAGATAGTGAAAACTATCAATCAGAGATTGAGAATTACTGCAAGGATATTGATACATACTATTGGGCTGAGATAGAAAAAATAAACAAGGAGTGCAAACACCAAATTCTTCAAGAAAAAACACCTTACTTATTGGGTACAGATTATGTAACTGCTGATTGTAGTCCGTTAAGTATCCATTGTGGTTTGAGTATTGCAAGGTGTTTCGAACCATCAGTAAAATTGATGAAAAAATCAGAAATAGGAACTCAAATCACATTCAGTGCTGACGAATGGGAACTTTTTATTTTCACCCTACGATGTCTGGACATCAGTTATTTATCGGACAATGAAGTACCATGCATTACAACATCCAAAGAAGAGGACATTAAACATATTGAATGTGATGAAGATGTGAAAATATGAAAAACGTCAACTTTAGATTGTAAAATTTTAAAAGTTTACACAAGTAGGGCCTGCTTTTATCTATCACATAATGTGATAAATGATATACTCCATATTGATGAAAATATTATCAAATATAAAGTAGGTGCTTTATATAAAATGAACTTCCAACAATTTTATCAAAACTTTTTAGAGATTGTTTGTAACGTAGTACTACAAACCCAGGAAAGAAATTATGAACTTGTAATAAGATCCTTTTGTGACGTATGTAATGATAACATAGAAAGTTATTGTGTACGAGAATGCTTACTGTACTATAAAAATAAGCTCTTAAGTGATTTAGCTAGTAAATTATCTGTGTATGAAGCAGCTTTGATTAAATAAACGGTTTTGTAAGAAAATTTTATTTGTTTTTTATTATAGGAAGGGATAAGGAAACATACAGACATATTGCAAAACGTATTTTTATTTTCGTTACATATATTTTATGATACAGTCAATGTTTAGCAGTATATGCAAGCACATTTACATAAATTCTTAAAAGTCAATGTCGGAATCATCGTTACCAGAATCTACAAATCTCGTAACATATGGGAGATTATTATCATGATCGATGTTATGTAGGTCATTTCCACAAGTATATTCGTCTTTCAAACCAAACAATAGTTCCAAAAAGTCATTTTGACAGTACATATCGTTGGTTTGGAAGAACACTGTCACAAGTGGAAAAGTATTAATTTTCAGGAGAGATGTTTTAAAATTTCAATGTGCTAGTTCTCATCATAATTTTTTTAAGGTAAAAAATAAGGGGTAAAATATTTTATAACCTTAAGGGTCCCGTTATAATCACTTAAATATAATAGAAAGACATTACCTGTCCTCACCTTTTTACCTGAAATTAGCATTTGTGACAGTTTTTCCCAAAATTTCTTTAACATTTTTGATTGAAACGTTTGACACAAAATAAAACAATGGAGTAATTTATGGTCGAAAATACAGTTTTATTTATTTAAATTTACAAAAATAAACAAATAAAAATATACATAATAAAAATATTTAAAGAACAGCACAGAAAATATGTTGGTAGAAAGTCTATAATCTATCATAAAAATCGAAATAGTACATTGGGACCACTCGTTTGTCAGGTTTTTTATTAAACAATGATAATAATGATTTTTTTTAAGTTTCTGTAATACCGACTTTTGCCTTGTAAGCATTTTTTAACTTCACCGAAGAGAAATCTGGTTTTTAGCGCCTCAAATGTAAAATGTTGACTTGTGAATACTCCTTTTCATTGTAAGAGGTTTTGTAGAATAGCACTCCCGGGCACTCTTTCTTTACCATAAACATTTTTAAGTCGGTGATTTTAACGGTTTCACCCTCTTCATTTTTGAAATTAGGTTTCATGCCGAGCTGAGAAGAAAGATCCTTCAGGTCAAGGATATCTTTGTGACACATTTCATTAACAGAAAATGGTTTCCCAGTTTTTTTGCCTGTCCGATTATTGTTGCGTACTGCTCAGGCACATAGATGGACCCAGATTTGCGAATTTTGGCAACTGCTTTTTCAATAATGGCATGTACATTATCGCCCTCATTTTGCGTGTGCCCAGCGATAAAAAATTTGTGAGTTATAGATTGTACAGACTTTAAATTTGAAACTGCATAAGTGTATAAAGAGATGATAAATCGGTTCTTATTTTGTCCCGCACAATTGTCACTGTAAAAAATTATATCTAAAACTTTTGATTTGTCGTCCGAATTTGAAACGTTTTCTTGCAAATTTCGTAAATAATTCCACACGCATGAACCTATTTCATCAGCACCCCTTTTGGCTTCTGCCTCGTGCCAGAGATAACAATATGCTTGATTTGTTTGCAATTCAAACATAGTTAGATTGAAGACATTAAGTTTTGACACATAATAGAAACTTGAGGCGTTACCGATTGGGCATGGTAATATCGCTTGGAGGTCGTACACAGCGACTACTTTATCTGAAACTTTATCGGCTTGCTTTTCTGATCGAGATAATTCTTTCTCTTTCAGATGAGTGTCGTATTTATTTTTCATGTGGGTTTTTTCCTCCTGGTTGGCATTTGTGTACGCAAGACATAATTCACATGCATCCTTCTTAGGAGTAAAAAATGCTATGTTGAACTGTTGATTGAAAATAGTATAATACATTAAGTAGTTTGCGTAAGGCTTATTATCTTCTTGACAGATATTTTTGTAATCCCTGTATAAATCTCTCACAGTCTTACCACCTTCAATATACTCCTTTTTAGTTTGCGACCTACAATAATGACTGGGAATTCTTGGAATAGAATTGATGTGGGCTCTAATATCTTCTTTTATGCCATTGGAAATTGAATAGTGGTTGGTGTGTTTTCCTCTTATTTCTTGTTTAAGAATTCCTTTAGTCATCGAATCTTGTTTTTCTGTAACCGTTCGAATAACTCTACTGCTAATACCTAACGTGGACATAAAAAATTGTTTGCAGATTCGAATATTTTGTCCATCAAGGTCGAAGAAGAAACTAGAATTTAGACGTCTACTATTTTCGCCTTTCTGACATCTATATTTTGGCTTAATAGTAAGCATTCGGCCTGCTATAAATCCACGTTGTTGCAGGACATCTCCTAATTGCCAATATTCTTCAAAAATTTTTTGCCTCTGATCTTGTGAGATTTTGGTGGAACACTTTAAGCGGCATTTTTTCCCACAGGGCGCGGACATCTTTCTTTCTTCTCGCTTTACTTTCATCCGTTCGATACTTCCATCACTTTTCTTGATTTTTCTAATGGATTCATAACTTTTACCTGTGTTTCTAAGACGTTTCGCTTTATTCTTTTGCCATTCATCTGGGACTCTTTTTCGCTTTTTAGTTTGCTTCTCTGTTTCAGAAGGATAGTGCACTGAACGACGTATTGGTAAAGCTACATTTTGAGGTATACCATCTACTTCGGATTCACTGGAAGACAATATGTTTTCTGGTTCAAAATCAGGATCTTCTTCTGAAGCACCAGAACCAAAAGGTTCTTCTTCAGAACTGGTTGGGTCCGAATCACTTGAGGACCTACTACTTGAATTGTTATCTGTTTGAATTGCAGGTTCAACAGAAAATACTTTAGAAGAAGTGGCTTCTGTAACAATAAATTTTGTGTTAGAGGAACATTTTTTTAACTAGCTATGACTACCTAAATCACCTTCTTCTATTAGCTCACTGCTAGGACCATTACTGCTAGGGAATTCTTCATATTCATCCGCTCTAAGTAAGCCCTGAGATCGAGTTCTATTTATTAATGTAACACCTCCAATATCTTCTGAACTCTCATCAAAGATGATACCAGGAATGATTGTCGTTTGGGAGATAACGTTTTGGCTTGGCAGATCGATCTGATTTACAGACTCTATATTATTCTTATCTTCGGTTGCATTTTTGGCTTCTTTTAAACTATTGCGGATATTATTACTTTCAATCATGTTTAGGGACTCTAAAATTATATGAACATTTATTTGTGTTTATTTTTATTAACAATAGAAAAACAAACCTTTATTGACCGTGACGCTATTAACAGCTTCCTCTGCAGTACTGCTGGTATTGCCAATATTATTATGCTGCGAAATTTTCCAACTATCCTGCGCACCATTCTCTTTCTTCTCTACTCTTGCTTTGGTTTTTGCTAACTTTAATATAAGTTTCGCTCGCTGGGAACTCATTGTATACGTATAGACTGTGAAGTAACAAATACGTACATTTCAGAAAATTGCACAAACAACTCCGAAAATTTTAAATTATTTTTACGAATATTATTCCAAGTAAAAAAAAACAATGAATCATTAGTAGATTTTATGTAGAAAAATGTCACATATCAAAATAGTACTCAAACTAATAAAATAACTTTTGACATTGTCATGACTATTTTGAAGAATACCGTTCTAAGTCAAAAATGACGATATTGCACATAATATTCCTTTATAAACACGCATATCCTATGAGGAATACTGACACAAGTCGAAATGTGACTGTGTTGCACATAATAATTCATTTTAAAAGCACATATCCTATGAGGAATACTTACCTAAATCGAAATGTGGCTGTCTTGCATAAAATATTAAATACAAAATACCAAAAAATACGTTCCTTTTTCACTTGTGACACTATTCTCGAAAACACGCGATGTGACTTCCACAACAACTGAGACGCAACTAATAATGTGCCGCTATTCCATACAAATAAATGCACGAGTTACACAAAGTCAAACTGTCATAAGTCGCCATCTAGCGTAAACTACACGAGTGCAACTTGTGACTATTTTTCCCATAATAAAGTTTACCTTTTTGAGTTGGTTAGCGGGTCAAACTAAAAAATGTCAATTTTTTAGTTGTGCCATTCTTCTTCCAAACCAACGATATATGTAGATCTGTATAAGCGATGAATTTCTTGAACCTGTAATACCATATGATAATGGTCTCGAAGAACAGTGGGTCTTTTTTTATTCCTGAAACCTAATACTAGCATAAATGCGTTACAGCAACCCCAACATAATCTTAAATTATATTCTGGAATGTAACAAATGTTAACCCAAACACAATACTTTGGAAAAATATATATGTCTTCAAAATTTGCTTGACATAAAAGTGCCTTCCTATGGGTTTCACTAGGTATTTCCCTTGTATGCTCCAATGCTTGTATAATTAAAATATCTGTTAACCCTTTCACGTCGACTTTTTTTTCTTTATAAATTTAACGTTCTTTAATATTTGCTGTACTTATTGACTTATTTAAAACTGGTCTGTACTGTATTCAGATTTTTAGATTTTGTTTTTTTTTTGTAAAATGGCGATGGGACATATATGTCCCTCTAGGATTATTATTGGACATATTTGTCCCACTAGGTACAAGGAAAATAAATATATTTTTTATAAATAATAAAGAAATTTTATTCGCAAACACAAAAAAATCCTGTTTTGTTATTTTTATCTATGGAATGATGAGAAACAGTTCATACATAATGCCACGTTGCACTGGGAACACATTATCTTCGTTCTTTTCTCTTTCTTCTTTTTATGACAGTTATGACATCTACGACGTGTCGTTCCTTCAACAGGTAGATGCTCTCCAACATTTTGTAGAGACATTGACGTTTGAGATGGTCTTCCATAGCAGCGGCGTCGTTTGATAGAAGCGTTTTGTCGTCCAAAGCTAATAAGTTGCTCAGCTAAGGGCACAATAAACTGTAGAAGTGGAAGTCTTTTATGATGGACATCTTGATATAATACCCAGGCGTTGACAACACTAGTTAACAGTAGTTTATAAAAAACTTTCTTCCACCACTTATTTGATTTCCTGTCAATGTCATATAGGCTTGCAAGTTGATCTGCCAGATCGACACCTCCCATATGTTTGTTGTAGAATAACACAACATCTGGGCATGGAATGCTAGCTTTAGAACCATCCTTTTTTTTCTATCTACTTGGCTCACTTTAGATGTATGGCAATTACTGAGCAAAATCACTTCTTTGGTATCTTTCCATTTAGTTGCAAGTAAACCAGTATCACTACAATACACTTCCATTGCACCTCGTTCTTTTAATTTTTTTCCAAAATCTGGTAAACTTTTTCTATTACTGTTACATGTACCAAATGCAGGAAACTGTATATTTGTCATTAGATTCACCGAAGTGAAAAATCTATCAAAGCATAAAGCAACATTGGCGTTTTGAATTGTATCACATAACTTTGCCACTACTCTCTCTCCTAGAGTTCCTTCCACTTGCTCAGTTTCTTTCCCAGCATAAATATTAAGATCATAAACATAACCTGTCAAAGCATCACACCTTTGCCATATCTTTATGCCCCTTTTGATCGGCTTCAGGGGCATATATTGCTTCAGAGCCGAACGGCCCTTGAATTTAGCCATGCTTTCATCTATCGATTGATAGCTACTATCGGAACGACTCGCAATGAAAGTCTTTTTCAGACAAGACACAACTTCGTCGATATAGTATGTCTTATTAGCATCTGGCGGCTTGGAAGGGTTATTGAAATATAGTTTTGAAAGAAGTACCAAAAACCGGTCCCTTGAGATTGCTGACTTTAGGGCTTCATTTCCCATTGATTTATTTGTTGACCAATATAACTGCATATTAGGAACTCTGTTATAGCTCATCACAAGCAAACTACCTATAACTATCATCATTTCAGATGGATCGGTATGATCGATTTTGGCGTGCTTTGTTTTATTCCAAATATTCAATCGTTCATTGGTAGACTGGGATATAAACATAAACAGACTCCTTGGAAACAATTTTAGAAACACTTCTAGTTGACTGGAAGACCGATTTACTGCTGCCAAAACAGTAGCTGGGGAATTATTGCTATGAGGAAGTGCTTTTCGAGGAATATAATTATCGTCTGGAACTCTCCAAGAAAGTTGATTAGGGGTTCTTGGATTTGGAACGTTGTGATTTTGTGTATTATCGGGTATACCATCGTTATTGGTTACGTTACTTTCCTCTCCATTTTCATCGATGTCCGAAAAATAGTTTGTCTCCACCTCAGATTCGGATGATTCCCTTTCCGACGGATTATACTCTGACCCGCTATCCTGGAATGGCTCCTCATCTTCAGACTCATCCCACACGTGATCAGCTTCCCACTGTAACTCTTCTTTCGTCAAAGGTCTCCTTCTGAAACGAACAGAAGTTATTATTCGAGAGGGACGAATATGTCCCATGCAAGCATGCTGGAGGGATAAATATATCCCATAGTCAAAAACTAACGACTAAAATACTTTAGATACAAATTACGAGTTCAAATTATTACAATAACTAAAGTAACTTACCTGCTCATATTGTAGACATAGAAACAACTATTATAACATAGAAACCGCAAAAAATAGGGTCTGAATGTAGAACCACGTGCACTTGTCGGCTGCTAACGATCGACTGAGAGCCGCGGCATGAAGGTTCTTGGCGGGAAAATGTTCGCAGTAACGATGAATTCGAGTGGGACATATTTAAACGTATTTTAAATAGTAAATTTTCCCTCTAGAATTTTTGGACTTTCATATGGGACATATATGACCCATTAGACGCGAAAGGGTTAAAGGATTATCGTGTGCCTCAAGCAATATTTTTGACCATTTAAAATTCGCATAACATTTGATAACTTCCACAGTTAGTGTCCATGGTAATGGTGACACATTAGTAAAAGTAACGATTGATTTTACACATTCTGCAACTTTTTTAAGTGATACTTCTCTAAGACTTATCATACCTAAAATAAAATTGTACATGTTACATTTCTTCGTTTGATACTATGCTATAATGTCCCCAAGGTAAAGTATCATGACTGTTTTTGTTTAAATAACGTTTATCATCGTATGGACTGAGAGCTTTTTTCAACTGCGTAATTGAAAAAATATTATGATTCTCAGATCTGATTAAATTCTGATTAAATGACTGCACTTCTAAATTTTTCAAACAGTTCAAGTAACAATCAAATGTTATTTTCGTTTCAACTACAGATTTTTTGACTCCTTTGATTTTCTTAGTAACACCTATATTTGACATGATAATTTCCATATTATCTCCAGTACAAACACTTTCAAGCAGACTCAGCCGCATATCTTCTATTTCCTTATGCGTTGTTAATCGTTCTATAGAGTACATTTTTGATCTGAGACCAACGAATTCGGTTAACGGTATACCTTTATATTCATCCTTCATAATTCCCGGAACCTTTTTATTAACCAACGGTATGTTATACACATTATCTGTTGGATAATCGCTGGTATCAAAATACTGAAAACAATCTTGTTTGATTACGTCTATATAAAAATCTGCACATTTTACCTCATACGTCATCGAGTCTGTGTCCATATACAGGGTCTTACACGTATTTAATTGGAATTTCTTCAACATGTAATTATAGTGAAAGTCATATAAGCATACTTTGGAAATGTCCAAAATCGCCATTCCAATATACAGGGGCTTGTTGAAGAGAAGTTCGGTTTTTTTCATTTCAATCGCTACGAGATTATCATCAAAGACTACTCTGCAATGAAAATTGGGGCTGGCTATTAGTTTCCTTGCACCATACCGGCCTTCCCATTTGTTAGTGATACGGACTAGACGACGCTTTCGAACATTTTCCATGCATTTTCCAAAACAGGAGTCGACAAGGTCTTTATACAATGTTTTATCAAAATCATTTGTAGCTAGCATACGTAATTTTGTATTCATCTCTACGTAAGGTTTCATCCAAGCAGCTTGTTTAAATTGCAAAATGCGGTGTACTTTTTTCAAAACTAAGCCATGTGCTAAAGCTTGTTTTAAATTTCTATAATGAATTATGTAATTTGTTTTATCGTAGAGAGTTGTCATTAATTTTGATAGTTTTGAACCTGGGGGTACTCGATGCTCTGGACATAGTGGAAAATCTTTATGTTCATCGTGCAAATACTTTGGATACTCAAGGTCTCTACCTCGAGTATGTAACCAATATCTGCATCATCTGCAATATCATGTACATTCAACGTATCAACAGTTTCCACCCAAGCAAACCCTGCATAAGGAAGATACTGAGTCATAGCAAATGCGTATAATGCATTAACATCCAAATAAATGATAAACGTTGATCGTGCAGAGCTATCATAATCCGGTAGATATTTGTTATTAGCCTTTGAATACCTATTACAACATTGAGAGATTCCTCCGCGTATGCCACGTTCTACAAATAATAGCATATCAACATTTTTTAAAATTTCAATCTTACAACCGGTATAGCGTAGCATACAATCAAATGTATAACCTGGTAGGGTATAATACCATGCAGGATCTAAACCGTGCGTCCTATGAGCAGTTTGTCTAAAATTTTCAAAAACGTCTGCTAATAAAATAATGTCTGTTTTCAAATAAAGATCACTATATTGTCCGATGTTCTGAATTTCGAAATTGGACCACACATCTTTAGCACGTTGGTACTCGTTATTGCTAACGTTTGAGTCATTTAGTCTATTGTAAAATAGTTCATGTGTAGGTAGTTCTGTTTCATTCAACTTTTGCCATGAGTCAACATAATCGTATGGAAATACGCCTTTTTTTGTTAGCAACTCTAACTTTTCATCGTTCAAGTGTCCAAACTCTTTTTTTAATATCTGTAAAGCTCCGATATCTAACAAATTAACAAGTTTATCCAAAGATGCAGCCAAAAATCTAAAGGAATCTATGAAACGGAACGCAATGTCGGATACATTGTTTCGGATAGTGAATGAAATATATTTTTGCTTATTTAATGGGAGCAAAACAACTCGATTAGATTTTGCAATGTCTTTAATAATAAAATGAGAATCATAACCGCTCAAATTATGAAGCACAACTGGAACTATGAATGAGTTTTTATAATTTAAATTACATTTAGAATGAGCAAATCCTCGAAAATCATCACTCAGATGGCAGTGGTCCCTTACAATTTTAGAGTCAGCTTTGAATGGTTTCTTACATATATGACAATGCGAACTAACATTTTTAAAATCAACGTATGTATTCATTGGAACAACAAATTGAAGTTTTGATTGGACAAACTTTGACATTTCCCCCATTTCTTTTGAAAACCACTGTATACAATCTATACCGCGATAGGATTTATAAAATGATAATGAATCATCGTAACTGCACTTGAAATAATAACCGGCGCTGAATGCTTCATGTTTTTGATACTTGATCATATGCGACAATGTTGATTTTTTGTTAGTTTCACTGAATGGTAGTAACATTGATTCAAAGTCAACGTAAATTATAAAAGGTACTTTCTCCGCATATCGGAAGTTCTTAAATTTTAGGATAGCGTCTTTAGGAAATTATATTTTGTAATCGTTCAATTTTTGACAATGGATTTCATGTTCATGTAGCTGCTTCTCTGTATGGAAGTATTGAAGACATCTATCACAAATCCATTTCTTACTGTGAGCCTTACTTAATTGATAGCCTACTAAACGAGCAAGATTTTTAATATACACGTAATGATAAGTAATTTCAAAATCATCATCATCTGTGTTAAAATCATCATCATTGTCATTTTCCAATGGTAAAGGTTCGAAATCATTTAATTTGGGATAATATTTGTTCTGTATCATTAACAGGTTGACATGTTTTAACATTTTTTTTGGCGTGAGTCTTAATGGTACAATGTTATAAAAAGATTTACTGTTCTGTACAATCAACTCAGCTCCAAAAACATTAACAGAAATAAATTTTATTCATTTCCTCGAACTTACCTATATCTATTAAGCGAACGGGCATTTCCAACCCTTCTAAGTTAAGAACTTCCGTATAACGGGGATAGGACGAGGTTCTATCAGTATGACTTTTAGCAGGATAAAGGGCACTTATTATAGACCAGGCAAAGCATGCATTATCATTATGATTTTTTATATTGATACACGCCTTTTTCCGAGCAATTTGAGCAGGTAATTTCACGTATGATGAACTTACGTTACCAAATTCCACTTTATTTATATTAATTTCTAAAGAGATAATCTTTAATAACGACCAGCCACTCAATCTTTCTTGAAATTCTGACAGCTTGTTCAAAATTTTATCAACAATGTTATCTTTGAACCATTGTTGTAAATTTGTAGTTTGATCAATGATAGCATTTCTGGTATTGAAATATTTAAAATCATTGATATCTGTACCATTCGAAGACTTAATAAATTCACCACAAAAGGTCCCATTTACTTTCAAAATGGGCATTACGGACAATTTATTTTGTATTTGATGTTCGAATAGATTGAACGCATCAAAGAAAAAATCATGTATATCAACATGTTTTAAATTTATAATAACACCAGTATGAATTCGACTAACAAAGGTTGACACAGTATCTTCCCATACAGCCCTTTTTGGCGTACTAAATGTACCACGACCTACATGAAAGGACTCTAATAAAAATTTATATCTTTTCAAGTGTACCACACCAGTATGAACAGCTTTTCGTGTATTAACACTAATATATTTATTTTTAAGAGCTTTGTGAAAAATTATTAAATTTTCATTAATCAGTTTTATCCAGCGTTTTTATCTGATTCAGAAGCATATTTTTTTCAGTAAGAGTTTCATAAGTTTTTTTGAAAATCTTAACAGTATTTTTGACTGATTCACTGAATGGTTCTGAAAGGTCCATTGAATTTCGTGCAAAACAAATCAATATTACTTTACCTTGAGAATAACAATATTAGCATATAATACAAGTGTTCTTACTTATTCGTGTAGATCCTTAAGCTTAAAATGGTGAACTTGATTATCTCCGAAAGAGCTGGCCACGCTGCCTGTATACGCAATTGCGTAACGTCCCGGAGTAAAATTTTCTAGGTTTTCGATGATCACTTCCGTCGCTCTCCCTGGTAGAAACACTACAAAATGTTGTAGCTCCACCAACGGCACCTGTCCAAAACGTCCTTGTACGATTCTTATTGAAAGTACAGTCTGGTATTGGTTAAGCGGTAGCTCGTACAGGCTCTTTTTCGGCTTACTCGTGTAGCCCGTAGCTGCAATTTCATTTATCTTGTTTAGGTCCATTTTTATCTAAAATAAATGAATAAAAAAATTGTGAATAATAGAAGTTACCAAGAAGTTAACATAAAATCAATATATTAGCATTCATCTAACTATTTGCTCTTTCAATACATCAAAAAGTATTTTACTATATAAATACGAAAGCTCAACACTGAAACATGTCACATGAATAAATCAAAACAAAATTAAAATGCTAGCATTGTTGGAATTTATTAGATACACAATACAGACTGTACTGTTTTCAATATTGTATCAATGTTAAAAACTAAAACTTACCAGAAATTATTTCCAATCACTTCACACGCACGCACTTTACAAGCCTGTATGTAAATAAGCTGCAACTGCATCTATTGCTAATCATTAACTGTATGCACCGCATTTGAGCAATTCCATTTTATATGCGTACTGAAAACAGTGTTCCCAGATGAGTTTTTTGATTATCAGTAGGTGTCGCCTCGAAAAATCAGTAGAATTCAGTATTTTTACGTGTATACATAGGCAACCAGTAAAACTTAGAATAAAATATAGAGATGAGATATTCAATAAAGAATCAAGGTTTTTAAATTATTACAAATATTTTTATTTTATATAAAAACCTCAACTAACAGATCAAAATGTATACAAACAAACTTTAAAAGAACAAAATATTCAAAATAATACATAATATTAATTTTTGCCTTTAGTTATCTGACTCCGAGTCGTCATCTGTGAATAGAATTGATGTGGGCTCTAATATCTTCTTTTATGCCATTGGAAATTGAATAGTGGTTGGTGTGTTTTCCTCTTATTTCTTGTTTAAGAATTCCTTTAGTCATCGAATCTTGTTTTTCTGTAACCGTTCGAATAACTCTACTGCTAATACCTAACGTGGACATAAAAAATTGTTTGCAGATTCGAATATTTTGTCCATCAAGGTCGAAGAAGAAACTAGAATTTAGACGTCTACTATTTTCGCCTTTCTGACATCTATATTTTGGCTTAATAGTAAGCATTCGGCCTGCTATAAATCCACGTTGTTGCAGGACATCTCCTAATTGCCAATATTCTTCAAAAATTTTTTGCCTCTGATCTTGTGAGATTTTGGTGGAACACTTTAAGCGGCATTTTTTCCCACAGGGCGCGGACATCTTTCTTTCTTCTCGCTTTACTTTCATCCGTTCGATACTTCCATCACTTTTCTTGATTTTTCTAATGGATTCATAACTTTTACCTGTGTTTCTAAGACGTTTCGCTTTATTCTTTTGCCATTCATCTGGGACTCTTTTTCGCTTTTTAGTTTGCTTCTCTGTTTCAGAAGGATAGTGCACTGAACGACGTATTGGTAAAGCTACATTTTGAGGTATACCATCTACTTCGGATTCACTGGAAGACAATATGTTTTCTGGTTCAAAATCAGGATCTTCTTCTGAAGCACCAGAACCAAAAGGTTCTTCTTCAGAACTGGTTGGGTCCGAATCACTTGAGGACCTACTACTTGAATTGTTATCTGTTTGAATTGCAGGTTCAACAGAAAATACTTTAGAAGAAGTGGCTTCTGTAACAATAAATTTTGTGTTAGAGGAACATTTTTTTAACTAGCTATGACTACCTAAATCACCTTCTTCTATTAGCTCACTGCTAGGACCATTACTGCTAGGGAATTCTTCATATTCATCCGCTCTAAGTAAGCCCTGAGATCGAGTTCTATTTATTAATGTAACACCTCCAATATCTTCTGAACTCTCATCAAAGATGATACCAGGAATGATTGTCGTTTGGGAGATAACGTTTTGGCTTGGCAGATCGATCTGATTTACAGACTCTATATTATTCTTATCTTCGGTTGCATTTTTGGCTTCTTTTAAACTATTGCGGATATTATTACTTTCAATCATGTTTAGGGACTCTAAAATTATATGAACATTTATTTGTGTTTATTTTTATTAACAATAGAAAAACAAACCTTTATTGACCGTGACGCTATTAACAGCTTCCTCTGCAGTACTGCTGGTATTGCCAATATTATTATGCTGCGAAATTTTCCAACTATCCTGCGCACCATTCTCTTTCTTCTCTACTCTTGCTTTGGTTTTTGCTAACTTTAATATAAGTTTCGCTCGCTGGGAACTCATTGTATACGTATAGACTGTGAAGTAACAAATACGTACATTTCAGAAAATTGCACAAACAACTCCGAAAATTTTAAATTATTTTTACGAATATTATTCCAAGTAAAAAAAAACAATGAATCATTAGTAGATTTTATGTAGAAAAATGTCACATATCAAAATAGTACTCAAACTAATAAAATAACTTTTGACATTGTCATGACTATTTTGAAGAATACCGTTCTAAGTCAAAAATGACGATATTGCACATAATATTCCTTTATAAACACGCATATCCTATGAGGAATACTGACACAAGTCGAAATGTGACTGTGTTGCACATAATAATTCATTTTAAAAGCACATATCCTATGAGGAATACTTACCTAAATCGAAATGTGGCTGTCTTGCATAAAATATTAAATACAAAATACCAAAAAATACGTTCCTTTTTCACTTGTGACACTATTCTCGAAAACACGCGATGTAACTTCCACAACAACTGAGAGGCAACTAATAATGTGCCGCTATTCCATACAAATAAATGCACGAGTTACACAAAGTCAAACTGTCATAAGTCGCCATCTAGCGTAAACTACACGAGTGCAACTTGTGACTATTTTTCCCATAATAAAGTTTACCTTTTTGAGTTGGTTAGCGGGTCAAACTAAAAAATGTCAATTTTTTAGTTGTGCCATTCTTCTTCCAAACCAACGATATATCGTCGGTTGTCAAGAAAAGTGACACAAATCAAAATTCTTGAATTTTCAGGAGAGCGATTTGAAATATTTGATAATCGTTTGTATCGCTTGGCTGTTTTCCTAATCGATTTACACCAATTATTTTGATTGTTTTGTGTTGTAGATATGACTATCTTATTGTTCTGGTGGGGCTACATTAGCGGGCGAAGATTCGTGTCGTGTTGGCGCGAAAAACATCGTGTATCGGGCATACACGATGTTCTTGTGTACATTTAGCGGCGAAGATTCATATAACGGACTGCGACGATTATTCGTTTGTGTGTTGTTTAGCCGTGCGGACGAAAATATGGAGGAAGCAGTAGCGTTGCATTATATGTCAGTAAATTATTATTATTTATTACACTTGTACGGGTATCAGGTACAAAGTAATATGAATAAGAGAAGAAGGAGGAGATGGTGGATGACTACTATTCATAGAAACCGAACGATGTAAGTGTGCAGCACAATTTTTACAACACGTCACGCTAAAATAATACTTGATATAATGTTTCTATTTTGCCTTTCTCTGCATTAGACCTTAAGTGGTGTGAGTATATAGTAATAATTTTTAAATTTTTTTCTTATTTACAGAACAGGAATGGAACGTTTGTTATCTGAGCTAACCGCAGGGTCCGGTATAGAATTCCCTGGATTTTTACGTATGTCGACATCTGACTTTGAAATACTACTACAAAAGCTCGCACCACTAATCACCAAAAAAGATACAAAATTCAGAAAAGCAATTCCTGCAAAAGTGCGATTGGCAATAACACTACGTTATCTGGCGACAGGAGATGATTTTCGAAGCCTTCATTATATTTTCAAAATATCTCATCAACTCATTTCCAAAATAGTACATGAAGTGTGTGCAAGTATTTTGATCGTTTTGAAAGACGAAGTTATGGTAAGAAAAATACAATATTTTACTCATAGTTCAGTTTATTTCACTAAGTGCCTATAGTCTAAGCAACATGTACCTTTATGGAGTTTTTCTTTTCGATTATTAATAACAAAATAAACATTTTTCTATTCTCATTCCTATTAAAAAAAAGGTATACCATCCATAAAAAAAACTACAAAACTACTACATTTTCATATGAATACTATATCACCAGTCTCCGATATAACGAATTGTGATGTTTTCTGAGATGGCACGGTTTGGTTCTGCGATGGCGATGGATGGATCGGAGACTGGTACGTTTGGGTCGGTGGTGATGGAGATGGTGATGATTGATTTGAAGAGTGATATGTGTGGTTCTTTGGTAACTGAGATGGTCATGGATGAGTCGGGGACCGGTAGGTTTGATTCTGATGTAACGATGAATGGATTTGGGAGTGATATGGATGAGTTGGGTGAACCTGATCTATCATGCCTGCGTTTATAACCATGCTATGGATATCATTCATAAGAATGTCTCTGGTATTTGGGTTTTTAAGTTTTCTTATTTTAGCAGCAATCAGTTTCCCAAACATTTCATATTCGTCGTTGACACTGCCTTTCACGTGCTCAAATGCCTCTTGCATTTGTCTCTTCGCATGTAATATTTCTGAAGGAAAATCAATTTTCGCTCGCTTATTTGTTATGTTTGAATTAATCGGAGGAGTTGGAGTTGAGTCTTCTTCACTACGACTAACTGTAATCCCTTCATGTTCATCGTCACGTTCTGCATGCTCTTCCCGTACACTTTCATTCTGAAATAATAATAAAATTTGTTTCAGATGCCTTCAAACGAAGAAGAATGGCTACAAAAAGAAACTGAGTTCCATGATATCTTTCCACATTGTATTGGAAGCATTGATGGAAAACACGTGCAAATTTTATCACCCATTTACAGTGGAACTGAATTTTATAATTATAAACATACATTTAGCATTGTCCTCATGGCTTTGGTAGATAAGAAATATCGGTTTCTGTATGCAGATGTTGGTTGCCAAGGGCGAATTAGTGATGGTGGAGTGTTTAGAAATACCGCATTATTCGAAAGATTAGAAAGAAATGCTCTAAAGATACCAGCTCCTTCGGTGCTTCCCGGTACTGATTTCATCATGCCGTTTGTATTTGTAGCGGACAACGAGTTCCCGTTACAAACACACATCATGAAGCCATACCCTGGAGATCATCCAGAAGGCAGTATTAAAAGAAAATTTAACACGCAACTGTCAAAAGCCCGTATAGTTGTAGAAAATGTGTTTGGAATTATGTCTGCGGTATTCCGCGTACTTAGGAAGCCGATTGCACTCCAACCAGATCGCGCCTCTAATGTTGTAATGTCTTGTATATTACTACACAACTTCTTAAGAAACAGTTCATCTTCAAATAATATATATATACCACCAGGTTTTGCGGACACTATTACAAATGGACAAGTAGTTCCAGGTACATGGAGAAATGAGCAACAAGAAGAAACTGCGTTGCGCCCTTTTCCAGCGGTAGCTAGACGGAGCGGTCTTTTACCTACACAGATCAGGGACCAGTTCGCTCAATATTTTTTCAGTCAATAAAAATAGTCTAAGCAACAAAAAAAGCAAAACTCCCATTTTGTTTGTTTTTACATTGTTTATAACTTTTGCACTTTTTATCAGTGGCTTTTCGAATTTTTTCTTAAACTTTCTACATATTTTTCCGAATCAAATGACACCTTCATCGTAATTTTCGGAGACTATACTCAGATTTCACCCAAAAAGCTACATGTTGCTTAGACTAAAAGTATGTTTTTATTTTTGTGAAGTCACACTGTGGAATGTGAATAAATATAAGATATAATAAATAGGCGTGTTTCATTATTTACCTGTGTATCGATAGTCCGGCGACAATCATATATTGGCTGAAGAAAACTGTTCATAGCCGAAAAGGCGAACCAATTTGTTTGATATATGTATGTCGTCGGTGCCAGCGCCTGACCTCATTGATTTCTTTATTTTATTGAGATGAGCTCTGTAGTACGACATCAAAGAATCTTTTTTCCTCTTCATTTCTTCTATTGTGGTAGGCCAACTGAGCCTATTTTGAATTCTCGTCCACGCATCATGTACCAAATGCTTCTTTTTGTGGTCTGGGTTACTAGGATTCCATATAATATTTTCTGTTTCATAAAACTGAATGAACTCCAACACTTTTTCGTTATTCCACTCCATCGTACAGTGTACAAAACACCTAGGCCAAATATATTTTATCTCTGCAAAACACACGCACGTCCGTCTCGCTTCAAAGTCTGGACGACCCTGAAGTAACGCAGGTGTAGCCAGACATGCGAATATTGTCGCGATAAGTCCCTTTGATGCGTGCTAGTTTACCGACAGCGACCCGATGTTACATCGTCTTCGCCCGAATACACCGCGTTGTAACGATGTACCCGGCCACACACATCGCCGTAGCCCGAATATTCGCCGTAGCCCGCTAATGTAGCCCCAGCATTCATGGTAAGTTCTGATGAAATTTGATTTGAAGTACTAAAAAAACAAAATATTTGTAAATTTATGTCGTTGTTCGTGATAAACATGAGATTCGCAATGCCATGTCTAAAACAACTTTTTTATTAATAAACCGTACATTTGGTAAATAACCTGTATTTATTTCCTTTTCAACAAATGCAAATAAAACATTCTCTATCAAAAAAATATATGGAAATATAAAACAAACTTATGTACAGAGTGATACAGTCACTCTAAATTGAGGCTGTTTTACAGCACAGAATTAAAAAATAATAAGCACCATTGCAAAACGTAGGAACATTATAAAAATAAATAATAATGCCGAGAATATCACTAAACAAAAAAACATCTCTGCGAGTAAAAAACAAGTAATCAAAGATGCATGGGAAGTTAAACATACTTATCGCTTACTTAGGAAAGCCATAAGTAAAAGTACCTTTTACAAGTTACTATAATACTGAAAGTAAGTCTTCGGAATCACAGAACGGTTATTAGGTTGGTTGAATAAACTTAAAATACTACTTTTGTTTTTTTCAGTAATTCCTGGTTTAACTCGATATAGCTTTTTGATTACCAACGTATCATCGTTTTCTACATTCCGTCTTCTGCAGTATATAGAAAGCCCTATATCAATGGTTTGGTATTCATCAGCATAAGATGTTTTATAAAGTATTTTATTAGGGTTATTCTTATCCGCTTTTACTACTTTAATGTCTGCTATCTTGATACTTTCGTTTCTATCATTTTTTGTGAAGCTTCTTGCTGCCGTAGAAGCAAAATCTTTTAAATCAAGGAAGTCTTCATGATTCAGCTCATGCACTCTGTAGGGGCTACCTGATACTTTGGACGTTCGTATTATGGTTACATACTGGGCTGGAATAAATATGGGGCCTGACTTCAACGAACGCTTGACATGTCGTTCAATCACGGAATGGACGCTATCGCCTTCATTCTGGGTATGTCCTCTGATGAGGAACTTATGCGTTATTGAGTTGATAAAATTGTATTTTTGGACAGCATGGTGGTAAATTTTAAACATAACATGGTTTTTCTGCTGTCCACAGCAATTATCGGAGTAAAAGATAAGGTCAATCTTCTTGTTATACATTTGATTAGCTCTACTTTCTAGAGATTCAATGTAATTTAATACGCATGTACCTATTTCGCAGACATCTCTATTTCCTTCAGACTCGTCCCTCATGTAGCATTGGACATCCTTTGTTTTCAGTTCGTAAATTGTAAAATTGAACACATTCAATTTTGAACAGTAGTAAAAAGGTGATGTCTCTCCTCTAGGACACTGAAGTACAGCCTGCAGATCATAAACTGCAACGATTACATTGCTTTCACTATTTTCTTTATCTTCTTTTTTTTTTTGGCGTGATAGGTCTTTTTCAGCGATGTGAGTCTCATAATCACTAACTAAATTTTGTCTGTCTTCACCAGATGCCATTTGGAATGCAACACAGTCCGTGCACTGATCTTTTTTAGGCAAAAAGAATGAAATATTAAATTCAGAATTGAATATTCTGCTGTACATTAGGTAGTTGCCGTAAGGTTTCTCAGCTTGTTTGCATGATTCGACGTAGTCTCTATGTAGCTGGGCCACTGTTTTGCCCCCTTCAATGTATTCTCTATTCGAATCTTTCCTACAATAGTGACTTTCTATACGTGGTATCGAATTTATGTGGTTTCTAATCCCAGTTTTAATATCATCATCGACGCGATGGTGATTACCGTGTTTCCCTCTCTGTTCACCCGACAGTATCCCTTTGGTAAAGCTTCTTTGTTTTTCCAACACAGTTCTTTTCGGACGGTGGGTAATACCCAATGTTGCTCTGAAGAAATGTTTACATATTCTTATTTTAGTTCCTCGGATAAAAAAGTAGAACGCATTATTGCTAGCACGCCTACTATTTTTATACTGATATCTGCATGTTACAGATTCCATACATTTTGCCAAGTAATCTCGTTGCCGCTGCAGATCTCCTAGACTCCAATAATCAGAGAATATTAGTTTTCTTTCCTCACTGGAGATTTTCTCGTTGCATTTTAATCGGCAATTTTGGCAGGGAGGTCCCATTTCTCTAGACTTGATGACCCTTTTGCTGGATGACGATATGTATTCCAGTCCTCTATTTCGTTGCCGTTTTGCAATGTTCTTTTGCCAAGCATCTACATTCATTTTTCTTCTTCTGGGCTTCTTTGCTTTGGGCTCTTCGAAATTTGATAATTCGGGGGAAGGAGATTCTGCCGATGCAGACGAAACATAGTCTGGGTCTGCATCGGAGTCATCACAGGGTGACTCAACATCGTCGAACTCCGCTTCTGTATTTTGAGCTTCTCGTATATGTGACAATGTGTCTCTGGCCTGCTGATCAATATTATATATCTCTTCGCCCTTTTCTGTCCCTAGGGAATCAAGCAGGCCATTGTCGAGATCAATCAGTTGATCGTTTATTTTTGATATGCTAGCTGTCAAGAATGAATCTACAATCTCTGTCACATCTCTGAAATGCGGTAACGCATTTTCTCCTTCACAAGGTGGATTAATTGGGGGTGGTGAATTAGGTGCTGTAAGTTCTTTGCCAGATCCTAAAAGAGAAAAAGGAATCAATAGTAGCTCAAATAGCTTCCATTTTTTCAAACATTTGTTTCTACAAAAATGTCAATTCAACGATGGAAAAGTTTGTCTTTGTAACAGAGCCTCTAAATGGGCCATATTTTCGTAAAATATCTCACTGGAACTATAGCAACCGTATATAAAAATATTGCAGCATATGAAAGGGTTGCGATAGTTACATTAAAATATTTCACCAAAATACCTATTCCTCGTTTAGATTCTCCATAAGAGCATCTACAGGTTGAATTGAATAATTCTACATTTGACCGACTTACCAGTTTCTGATGATTGTCCACATATTCCCTCATTTTCTAAATCACTGAGTCCTTTTTCTGCAGACAATTGCATTAACAGCCTTGTTCGTTGAGTTAGTGGAGCTTTGGTATTCAAATCCATCACTTTCTGAAAAGAAATCTAATAAGATTCTTAGAACGACAAAAACATTGTTAAAAGGTACATAGTTGACCTAAAACAAAATCATCATGTTTATTTAAAATGGCATATTGAAAGTGTTGAAAAAAGTGACATATTTTTCGACGTATGATTTAGTCGGAGTAAATTTATGAAGAACACCATCATAACTCAAAATTAGGATGAAACCGATAAAGTCTTGTCAAAAAATAATCACTATTTATCAGGAAGGACGACATAACTGAAGACTAAAGACATGCACGATAAGACTCAACTAAGTATGCTACCTACCTTATTATCAAAATCGTCATAAAACAAAATGTGCCACTCTTCTTGATAACAGCGTTCAGATCACACAGCCGAAGTCAAAGTGTGTCGTTTTTCTTGATAACGCACTACCACACTGCGAGACGTGCCAGGCACAACTGAAGTTATGACACTTTTCTTGAGACGCGCAGGTGAATAGTTACTGAAAAGAAAAGTGACACTTCTGCTATCTACGGGCCGTTTTTCAAACTACAGTTGTGACGGTTCGTGTGATAAAAATATACACTTTTTGACGATCATTGATGCATATATCTGAAAAAACGTGATTTTTGAGTTGTGTCACTTTTCTCGACAACCGACGATATGTAGATCTGTATAAGCGATGAATTTCTTGAACCTGTAATACCATATGATAATGGTCTCGAAGAACAGTGGGTCTTTTTTTATTCCTGAAACCTAATACTAGCATAAATGCATTACAGCAACCCCAACATAATCTTAAATTATATTCTGGAATGTAACAAATGTTAACCCAAACACAATACTTTGGAAAAATATATATGTCTTCAAAATTTGCTTGACATAAAAGTGTCTTCCTATGGGTTTCACTAGGTATTTCCCTTGTATGCTCCAATGCTTGTATAATTAAAATATCTGTTAACCCTTTCACGTCGACTTTTTTTTCTTTATAAATTTAACGTTCTTTAATATTTGCTGTACTTATTGACTTATTTAAAACTGGTCTGTACTGTATTCAGATTTTTAGATTTTGTTTTTTTTTTTTGTAAAATGGCGATGGGACATATATGTCCCTCTAGGATTATTATTGGACATATTTGTCCCACTAGGTACAAGGAAAATAAATATATTTTTTATAAATAATAAAGAAATTTTTTTCGCAAACACAAAAAAATCCTGTTTTGCTATTTTTATCTATGGAATGATGAGAAACAGTTCATACATAATGCCACGTTGCACTGGGAACACATTATCTTCGTTCTTTTCTCTTTCTTCTTTTTATGACAGTTATGACATCTACGACGTGTCGTTCCTTCAACAGGTAGATGCTCTCCAACATTTTGTAGAGACATTGACGTTTGAGATGGTCTTCCATAGCAGCGGCGTCGTTTGATAGAAGCGTTTTGTCGTCCAAAGCTAATAAGTTGCTCAGCTAAGGGCACAATAAACTGTAGAAGTGGAAGTCTTTTATGATGGACATCTTGATATAATACCCAGGCGTTGACAACACTAGTTAACAGTAGTTTATAAAAAACTTTCTTCCACCACTTATTTGATTTCCTGTCAATGTCATATAGGCTTGCAAATTGATCTGCCAGATCGACACCTCCCATATGTTTGTTGTAGAATAACACAACATCTGGGCATGGAATGCTAGCTTTAGAACCATCCTTTTTTTTCTATCTACTTGGCTCACTTTAGATGTATGGCAATTACTGAGCAAAATCACTTCTTTGGTATCTTTCCATTTAGTTGCAAGTAAACCAGTATCACTACAATACACTTCCATTGCACCTCGTTCTTTTAATTTTTTTCCAAAATCTGGTAAACTTTTTCTATTACTGTTACATGTACCAAATGCAGGAAACTGTATATTTGTCATTAGATTCACCGAAGTGAAAAATCTATCAAAGCATAAAGCAACATTGGCGTTTTGAATTGTATCACATAACTTTGCCACTACTCTCTCTCCTAGAGTTCCTTCCACTTGCTCAGTTTCTTTCCCAGCATAAATATTAAGATCATAAACATAACCTGTCAAAGCATCACACCTTTGCCATATCTTTATGCCCCTTTTGATCGGCTTCAGGGGCATATATTGCTTCAGAGCCGAACGGCCCTTGAATTTAGCCATGCTTTCATCTATCGATTGATAGCTACTATCGGAACGACTCGCAATGAAAGTCTTTTTCAGACAAGACACAACTTCGTCGATATAGTATGTCTTATTAGCATCTGGCGGCTTGGAAGGGTTATTGAAATATAGTTTTGAAAGAAGTACCAAAAACCGGTCCCTTGAGATTGCTGACTTTAGGGCTTCATTTCCCATTGATTTATTTGTTGACCAATATAACTGCATATTAGGAACTCTGTTATAGCTCATCACAAGCAAACTACCTATAACTATCATCATTTCAGATGGATCGGTATGATCGATTTTGGCGTGCTTTGTTTTATTCAAAATATTCAATCGTTCATTGGTAGACTGGGATATAAACATAAACAGACTCCTTGGAAACAATTTTAGAAACACTTCTAGTTGACTGGAAGACCGATTTACTGCTGCCAAAACAGTAGCTGGGGAATTATTGCTAGGAGGAAGTGCTTTTCGAGGAATATAATTATCGTCTGGAACTCTCCAAGAAAGTTGATTAGGGGTTCTTGGATTTGGAACGTTGTGATTTTGTGTATTATCGGGTATACCATCGTTATTGGTTACGTTACTTTCCTCTCCATTTTCATCGATGTCCGAAAAATAGTTTGTCTCCACCTCAGATTCGGATGATTCCCTTTCCGACGGATTATACTCTGACCCGCTATCCTGGAATGGCTCCTCATCTTCAGACTCATCCCACACGTGATCAGCTTCCCACTGTAACTCTTCTTTCGTCAAAGGTCTCCTTCTGAAACGAACAGAAGTTATTATTCGAGAGGGACGAATATGTCCCATGCAAGCATGCTGGAGGGATAAATATATCCCATAGTCAAAAACTAACGACTAAAATACTTTAGATACAAATTACAACGAGTTCAAATTATTACAATAACTAAAGTAACTTACCTGCTCATATTGTAGACATAGAAACAACTATTATAACATAGAAACCGCAAAAAATAGGGTCTGAATGTAGAACCACGTGCACTTGTCGGCTGCTAACGATCGACTGAGAGCCGCGGCATGAAGATTCTTGGCGGGAAAATGTTCGCAGTAACGATGAATTCGAGTGGGACATATTTAAACGTATTTTAAATAGTAAATTTTCCCTCTAGAATTTTTGGATTTTCATATGGGACATATATGACCCATTAGACGCGAAAGGGTTAAAGGATTATCGTGTGCCTCAAGCAATATTTTTGACCATTTAAAATTCGCATAACATTTGATAACTTCCACAGTTAGTGTCCATGGTAATGGTGACACATTAGTAAAAGTAACGATTGATTTTACACATTCTGCAAATTTTTTAAGTGATAATTCTCTAAGACTTATCATACCTAAAATAAAATTGTACATGTTACATTTCTTCGTTTGATACTATGCTATAATGTCCCCAAGGTAAAGTATCATGACTGTTCTTGTTTAAATAACGTTTATCATCGTATGGACTGAGAGCTTTTTTCAACTGCGTAATTGAAAAAATATTATGATTCTCAGATCTGATTAAATTCTGATTAAATGACTGCACTTCTAAATTTTTCAAACAGTTCAAGTAACAATCAAATGTTATTTTCGTTTCAACTACAGATTTTTTGACTCCTTTTATTTTCTTAGTAACACCTATATTTGACATGATAATTTCCATATTATCTCCAGTACAACCACTTTCAAGCAGACTCAGCCGCATATCTTCTATTTCCTTATGCGTTGTTAATCGTTCTATAGAGTACATTTTTGATCTGAGACCAACGAATTCGGTTAACGGTATACCTTTATATTCATCCTTCATAATTCCCGGAACCTTTTTATTAACCAACGGTATGTTATACACATTATCTGTTGGATAATCGCTGGTATCAAAATACTGAACGCAATCTTGTTTGATTACGTCTATATAAAAATCTGCACATTTTACCTCATACGTCATCGAGTCTGTGTCCATATACAGGGTCTTACACGTATTTAATTGGAATTTCTTCAACATGTAATTATAGTGAAAGTCATATAAGCATACTTTGGAAATGTCCAAAATCGCCATTCCAATATACAGGGGCTTGTTGAAGAGAAGTTCGGTTTTTTTCATTTCAATCGCTACGAGATTATCATCAAAGACTACTCTGCAATGAAAATTGGGGCTGGCTATTAGTTTCCTTGCACCATACCGGCCTTCCCATTTGTTAGTGATACGGACTAGACGACGCTTTCGAACATTTTCCATGCATTTTCCAAAACAGGAGTCGACAAGGTCTTTATACAAGGTTTTATCAAAATCATTTGTAGCTAGCATACGTAATTTTGTATTCATCTCTACGTAAGGTTTCATCCAAGCAGCTTGTTTAAATTGCAAAATGCGGTGTACTTTTTTCAAAACTAAGCCATGTGCTAAAGCTTGTTTTAAATTTCTATAATGAATTATGTAATTTGTTTTATCGTAGAGAGTTGTCATTAATTTTGATAGTTTTGATGCTCTGGACATAGTGGAAAATCTTTATGTTCATCGTGCAAATACTTTGGATACTCAAGGTCTACCTCGAGTATGTAACCAATATCTGCATCATCTGCAATATCATGTACATTCAACGTATCAACATTTTCCACCCAAGCAAACCCTGCATAAGGAAGATACTGAGTCATAGCAAATGCGTATAATGCATTAACATCCAAATAAATGATAAACGTTGATGGTGCAGAGCTATCATAATCCGGTAGATATTTGTTATTAGCCTTTGAATACCTATTACAACATTGAGAGATTCCTCCGCGTATGCCACGTTCTACAAATAATAGCATATCAACATTTTTTAAAATTTCAATCTTACGGTATAGCGTAGCATACAATCAAATGTATAACCTGATAGGGTATAATACCATGCAGGATCTAAACCGTGCGTCCTATGAGCAGTTTGTCTAAAATTTTCAAAAACGTCTGCTAATAAAATAATGTCTGTTTTCAAATAAAGATCACTATATTGTCCGATGTTCTGAATTTCGAAATTGGACCACACATCTTTAGCACGTTGGTACTCGTTATTGCTAACGTTTGAGTCATTTAGTCTATTGTAAAATAGTTCATGTGTAGGTAGTTCTGTTTCATTCAACTTTTGCCATGAGTCAACATAATCGTATGGAAATACGCCTTTTTTTGTTAGCAACTCTAACTTTTCATCGTTCAAGTGTCCAAACTCTTTTTTTAATATATGTAAAGCTCCGATATCTAACAAATTAACAAGTTTATCCAAAGATGCAGCCAAAAATCTAAAGGAATCTATGAAACGGAACGCAATGTCGGATACATTGTTTCGGATAGTGAATGAAATATATTTTTGCTTATTTAATGGGAGCAAAACAACTCGATTAGATTTTGCAATGTCTTTAATAATAAAATGAGAATCATAACCGCTCAAATTATGAAGCACAACTGGAACTATGAATGAGTTTTTATAATTTAAATTACATTTAGAATGAGCAAATCCTCGAAAATCATCACTCAGATGGCAGTGGTCCCTTACAATTTTAGAGTCAGCTTTGAATGGTTTCTTACATATATGACAATGCGAACTAACATTTTTAAAATCAACGTATGTATTCATTGGAACAACAAATTGAAGTTTTGATTGGACAAACTTTGACATTTCCCCCATTTCTTTTGAAAACCACTGTATACAATCTATACCGCGATAGGATTTATAAAATGATAATGAATCATCGTAACTGCACTTGAAATAATAACCGGCGCTGAATGCTTCATGTTTTTGATACTTGATCATATGCGACAATGTTGATTTTTTGTTAGTTTCACTGAATGGTAGTAACATTGATTCAAAGTCAACGTAAATTATAAAAGGTACTTTCTCCGCATATCGGAAGTTCTTAAATTTTAGGATAGCGTCTTTAGGAAATGATATTTTGTAATCGTTCAATTTTTGACAGTGGATTTCATTTCATGTTCATGTAGCTGCTTCTCTGTATGGAAGTATTGAAGACATCTATCACAAATCCATTTCTTACTGTGAGCCTTACTTAATTGATAGCCTACTAAACGAGCAAGATTTTTAATATACACGTAATGATAAGTAATTTCAAAATCATCATCATCTGTGTTAAAATCATCATCATTGTCATTTTCCAATGGTAAAGGTTCGAAATCATTTAATTTGGGATAATATTTGTTCTGTATCATTAACAGGTTGACATGTTTTAACATTTTTTTTGGCGTGAGTCTTAATGGTACAATGTTATAAAAAGATTTACTGTTCTGTACAATCAACTCAGCTCCAAAAACATTAACAGAAATAAATTTTATTCATTTCCTCGAACTTACCTATATCTATTAAGCGAACGGGCATTTCCAACCCTTCTAAGTTAAGAACTTCCGTATAACGGGGATAGGACGAGGTTCTATCAGTATGACTTTTAGCAGGATAAAGGGCACTTATTATAGACCAGGCAAAGCATGCATTATCATTATGATTTTTTATATTGATACACGCCTTTTTCCGAGCAATTTGAGCAGGTAATTTCACGTATGATGAACTTACGTTACCAAATTCCACTTTATTTATATTAATTTCTAAAGAGATAATCTTTAATAACGACCAGCCACTCAATCTTTCTTGAAATTCTGACAGCTTGTTCAAAATTTTATCAACAATGTTATCTTTGAACCATTGTTGTAAATTTGTAGTTTGATCAATGATAGCATTTCTGGTATTGAAATATTTAAAATCATTGATATCTGTACCATTCGAAGACTTAATAAATTCACCACAAAAGGTCCCATTTACTTTCAAAATGGGCATTACGGACAATTTATTTTGTATTTGATGTTCGAATAGATTGAACGCATCAAAGAAAAAATCATGTATATCAACATGTTTTAAATTTATAATAACACCAGTATGAATTCGACTAACAAAGGTTGACACAGTATCTTCCCATACAACCCTTTTTGGCGTACTAAATGTACCACGACCTACATGAAAGGACTCTAATAAAAATTTATATCTTTTCAAGTGTACCACACCAGTATGAACAGCTTTTCGTGTATTAACACTAATATATTTATTTTTAAGAGCTTTGTGAAAAATTATTAAATTTTCATTAATCAGTTTTATCCAGCGTTTTTATCTGATTCAGAAGCATATTTTTTTCAGTAAGAGTTTCATAAGCTTTTTTAAAAATCTTAACAGTATTTTTGACTGATTCACTGAATGGTTCTGAAAGGTCCATTGAATTTCGTGCAAAACAAATCAATATTACATTACCTTGAGAATAACAATATTAGCATATAATACAAGTGTTCTTACTTATTCGTGTAGATCCTTGAGCTTAAAATGGTGAACTTGGTTATCTCCGAAAGAGCTGGCCACGCTGCCTGTATACGCAATTGCGTAACGTCCCGGAGTAAAATTTTCTAGGTTTTCGATGATCACTTCCGTCGCTCTCCCTGGTAGAAACACTACAAAATGTTGTAGCTCCACCAACGGCACCTGTCCAAAACGTCCTTGTACGATTCTTATTGAAAGTACAGTCTGGTATTGGTTAAGCGGTAGCTCGTACAGGCTCTTTTTCGGCTTACTCGTGTAGCCCGTAGCTGCAATTTCATTTATCTTGTTTAGGTCCATTTTTATCTAAAATAAATGAATAAAAAAATTGTGAATAATAGAAGTTACCAAGAAGTTAACATAAAATCAATATATTAGCATTCATCTAACTATTTGCTCTTTCAATACATCAAAAAGTATTTTACTATATAAATACGAAAGCTCAACACTGAAACATGTCACATGAATAAATCAAAACAAAATTAAAATACTAGCATTGTTGGAATTTATTAGATACACAATACAGACTGTACTGTTTTCAATATTGTATCAATGTTAAAAACTAAAACTTACCAGAAATTATTTCC